ATCAGCCCTGTGCTTCCTTCCGGCTTTGGGCTTGTTCTTTACACTGCTCCATAGCCTGCCAGGAAGTGAGGCCCAGCAACTGGACATCACCCCTGTGATTCCAAGTTGGGTGTGGGCCGATTTCTTTCTTCCTTACGAACATTTCTGTAATAATGACAGGGTTTAGAGACAAAGATATGGAATGCTTGCGTATATTATCCTTTTCTATCAAATTTATTAGAATATCAAGAAACTCACTAAATGAAGTTTGCATGGATCTAGCAATAAAATAATAAAAACATGCATTTTCAAAAAAATGTAATTAAACTTTAATTATCTTAACCAAGTGCATCCATTGCATTTCTACCTTGTGCTGACCATTCTCTCAGACTTAAAAACTGGTAAGATGGGTAAGATGCTGTCCATGAAGATCTCCGCCTAGTGATGGCCACAGAGAGCTTGTGGGAGGTTTCACTCATGAACGTGGCAGTGCCAGTGTGGCCCTCAGTGCACAGATGGGCTCCAGGTTCCCACTTGGCATCCTGTGACTAGAGTAGCTGTGTGATAGGGTGAGCGACTTGAGGTCTCTAAGTCTTAGTTTTTAATTTGGAGTGGGATAGCAGTTTTTCGTTTTGTTGTGTAAATCTTAGGATTATTGTGCCTCCTTCATGACACAAAATGAGCAGTAAAATAAACCATGCATAGACATTGCTTCGTGTGGTGCTTGGCAGAGAACTGTACACCTTGGCAGTGTATGAATGATACACTGACTGATGGGCAGACCTGCACTGGAAGGAGGTGAGGTGGGGTGAGGGTACCTCCGTCTGCTGACCACAGCCTAGAAGAAGGAGAGAGCCCTGCTAAACAAGGTATATCAGGGAGACCAGAAGGCAGCTGGCCCTGGGGAACCAGAACAGGGCTTCTCTAAGGCAGCTCCATACTGTCATGTTTTTAAGTGGAGATGCTCACACTGCACACATAGACACTGATAGATACAAATGTCAGCGGCTCCATGTTCTGCCTTTTTTCTTCAAAATGTGTAGGACCAGAAGTGTTTCAGATATACAGGTTTTCAGATTTTAAGATATTCACATAGGTTTTACTGATTGAGCATCTCTCACTTAGAAATTCAAAATTCTAACTGCTCCAAAATCTAAAACTCTTTGGGAATTATTGGACAAAGTTAAGATTTTGGAGCATTTTGGAGTTCAGACTTTCAGATTTAGGGCCCCTTGACCTAAATGATTATAGATACAGACTCACGGACAGGCATGTCCAGTGTAAGTTTTTGTCTAATTGTGTTACACATGTAGGAGTTCTGTGAGGAAACTGTGCCTTGAAATGGGCAAGTCAGAAAAGGTGTCACTGTGGGACCAGAAACTGAGTGGAGGGGAGGGAGGACCTAGGCAAGGTCATAGCAAGGTCACGCCCAGGGAGAGCACTGGTCTGGGGCAAGTCTTCCTCTTGCTTGGGTCCAGGGTAAATCAGCTTCTACTACTGAAATCAATGAGGTTGGATTCAGCAGATTTTCAGATCTGGATGGTGATTGCATAAAGAACTTACTAAGAGATCTGACTTGAATTGAAAGCAACCTCAAACTGGGCCTAATAGTGCCAGCCAACAATCCCAGCAAAACAGAAGGCTGAGACCACAGAATCGCTAATTTGAGCCCAGCCTAGTGACCTATCAAGACCCTGTCTTAAAATTTAAAAATGAGAAGTGGATTGGGATGTAGCTCATTGCAAAGGCTCTGGGTTCAGTTCCCAGTACTGGGTGAAAAATAACAATCCCAAATGATTTTCAGGTACAGTAGGGATAGAGGATTAGCAAAACAGGTAAGCTCTTGGGTTCTGCGGAATCAATGCCCAAGGACCCTTGGTCTGGCGGGGGCAGTGGGTCCCTCTGTGTGTCTGCAACATTGGCGAGACCACATTGTAAACCAGAGACTAAACGTCTGTTTGTAAACAAGCGTTAGTGAAGATATTTATGGAAGGGAATATACTGAAGGTGAAGCTTTAGAAAAAATTCAAGTGTCTTTATATAGTAAAAGAAAAAGCAACTAAAAGCACGTGGGTGAACTAAGGTGTTCATAAGCAAAACAAAATCAGATGCACTGTGGATTATGGGAGTCTACTGGAATTGTAGGAATTTTGTTCCGATTTAAACTGTGGGGTAATTATCGGAGGAACCTGTGCCACTGTGTGTATCTGAAAAGGGATGCTACCAAAATCAGATGCGATTTGAAATGAAGTTTGGTCCTTATATGGTCAGTAGGTTGCTAAATAAACCTAGGAAGGATCCATTTAGACAAATTTGTCTGTGTAATTATTGTGTCAAACCTCACCCATTCTCCTCTACTTCCTCCAAATGGTACGCCAGAGACTGTTAAAAAAAAAAAAAATCTTTTTAAAAACCCTCTATACCTCTGCCTTTCAGAAGTACAATCACTTACCAATTGTGTGGGCTTTTATTTAAAAAGCACTGTGAAGTACCCGTCAGCCCTGTTGCCCCGAGAGTCTCAAGGCTCCCAAGCAAAATCAGCCTCATCGCAGGTGGCAGAGCCTTGGGAAACATGCCTGAGTCCTAGCATCTTGTAAAACCCAGTGATCTCATCAATCACATGATGCTATTTCCACATGGAATCCAAGCTCCCTGAGAATCACTGAGGGTAACCTGTCCCACCCTGTCCTGTGAATGTTGTTGGACAACTTCAGGGATTTGCATTCAGTTGAGCTCATTGGGATCATATAGAAAAGGCCTAGGTTTGCATTCAGAATGATGTAACTGATGACAAATGAATAGCCTAAATCATTGCTCTCAAATTGTTATGCGATTTTCCTCTGTTGATTTGGAAGAATGTCTGACTAAAACTTGTCCTGCAGGACTTAATCTCTAGCCTCACTCCCTGAGTCTGGAAGAACTCTTCCTCAGAGGAACAGTTAAACTGTGGGGTTTCCTCAGAGAAAGAGTTCCTCTAACCAGCAAACCAGTGGTCATATTACTAGAATGAACTCCTTAGAGAAAGAGTTCTTCTAATCAGCAAATCAATGGTCATATTACGAGAATTTTTAAAAATACACTTTCACTTTAAAAGCATGTCAATGGAAGAATTACTTCAAGGTATATTTTAGAACAAAACCTGGATATATGTAAACATAGCACACTTCCAAGAGTCTTGCCACTTTTAAATTTTTTGTTGACTGGGTGAATTGAACAAGAACTAAGAGAGCTTTAATTCAAATTTATTATATAACTGTGTGACTTTAAAGCCACATACCAAGGATGACCCACTTAAGAACGTGTGCTAAATCTGTTATTTTCAAAGATACGAGTTAGTTAGATCCTAATAAGAAGATAGCTGGAAGCCATCTCCACTAGGAAACAGCTAAGTGCCCGACAGGTAATAAACAAGATAAATATTTACTAAGTTGGATCCTTAAACCCAGGGTCTGTGTTGGAACCATGGCTTCCACATCCACTCCACCCTAAGCTTGGGATAGGAAATATCACCCTAAGTGAAACTGACTTATATAAAGAACTACTTGCAATACTTAGGAGCTCAAGCAGGACTCAGCATTACTTTTGCCTCCACATAACTTCATCATACAGAAACTGGACCTACAGCGAACTACAGGAGCTATGCTCAACTGCCTTTGGTAATTCCTGAGCAGGTCTGCTGGAATCTCAGTACATGTACAGATTACCTAGGAATTGTTTGGAAATTCAGGGTCTGGGAAGTAGGCCTGGGTGGGGCCTGAGACTCAGCATTTTGGATCAGCTTCCCAGTGATCCTGATGGCATTAGCCAGAGACTCTGCTGCATAGCAGCGGGCTAACCCAGGTGGCCCTCAGAGGTCAGAATGAGTAGGTACAGTTTGATGGAAGGAGACTCTCAAGGCTAGTTATATGAACAAAGCTTAAGTGACTCCTCTAGATCCATATTTTCTTATTAGAAAGATGAGTATAATAAAACAATACCTACCACATGGGATTGTTGTGAGGTTACATTAATAATATTATAGAGAAATTTATGAGAACATATGGTGCATAGTCATTGCTAAGTGATGAATAATAAAAACATAAGCCCACAGCCTTGCGTTGGTACCCATAAAGATGGGACATTGAGGCTGGCTGCTGGCTGTAGTTCAGGGTTTCTACTCTTCACACCCCAGGCCATTTGTAATATTTAGGACTTAACAAGGATCAGCAGCCAAGTTACTGCAGATGACTGTACATTTCTGGCTTCAGAGATGTTGATACAAGGATAACAAGTGAATGTCTTGTTCACTATCAGTACAGTACTATCCAGAGAAAGAACATCTACTCGAGCCTTGAGTTCTCTTTGAGTGGAAGTGAGTCACCAAGAGAACCCTCAAATGAGGAAGACAGATCCAACTTCAATTTTCAGTAAAAGCTCATTATTGTTTGCCAGCTCTCAGTCATGGCATTTTCTAATTCATAAATCATGCATAAAAATTTTATCCTTTGGGCGTGAAACCAAAGATGAACCTTCGTAGTCAGGTCTGATATGTCCCTGGGTGGTAACTCAGCCACCGTTAGGAAGTCAGCCTGTAGCAATACAGTCAGAAACAGGGCACAGCTCTTCTCCCACAGCCTGTAAACGTGCTCTCTTGCCACCAGGTTATCCCCCAAAATTGTTATCCTGAAGACCAGTGATTCCTGTTAGCAGATTTGTAAACTATTAAGTAAAACTCTCCAGAAGTGCATAGCAGACTGGAGGCTTAGCCCAGTAGAATGCTTCTTACCTAAAATGTACAAAATCCTGGGTTCAGTCTGCAGTACCAAAGGAGAAAGAAAAGGTACACAGCAAGAAATGGAAGGTAGAAATTCCATTCAAAACCCATGGCATCAGCTCCAGGCACAGTCTCGTTGAACTCATCTGCAATGAAATCCAGAATGAACCAGCTAATCATTGCTAAAATAAATGGGATGTGTAAGTCCCGTCAAAGAATTTAAACCATGTTAATAAAAGATATTGCATACTCCTCTTATTTTCTACAGATCCCAGGAGAAAAAAGAAGAAGCTGTCGCCCTGCTGAAGGAGTCCATTAAACACGGCCCAGAATTTGCAGATGCGTATTCCAGTTTAGCCTCCTTATTGGCCGAGCAGGTAATTGTTTCTGTTTAACACAGCAGTTTTAAATGTGCCTGTTAGTAAATGTTAATGTTACACAAGTTTTTGTGCTGATGATCAACAATGATTGCTAAGTTCATAGTGAACATCTAATCTTCATGTCAGTTTCCTTGACAGAAATAAGAGCCTTGTTCCTTCCTTCTGGTGTTCCCTGTGCAGCACTGGTGGCCTCTTTACACCAAGATGGTGCACAAAAAGTCCTTGATACATTCTCTCACTCTGGGACAGAGTCTGTTAAGCGAAATATATGACATTTGCTGCTTTTAATTGCTATTTACTTGTCACCTTTTTCCGGTGGATGACCCATGGGCTCTGTGAACTCAATATGGAACCGATTATTGACAGTTCTGTAGATCTTGTGCTTTCACACCTGTGTGAAAATAACAGGCTCATGGGATAGGACCAAAGAGGACATTCTGCAGGGCACAGGCAGAGCTGCATTCCAAACCCCTCCCTCTTCTACTCATCTAAATGACTTGATACCACTTTTTGGAGTTGTGGATGCATGGCCCCTGGCTACAGAGTGGCAGATACAACTCTTCTCTGTACACTGATGGTACAGTTTTGTTAACACATGTCAAGTCCTTGGTACACCTTAGATTCTGTGTCACACAATTGCCACATTGTCTTTAAAACTCAGTGGCTTTCAAGATGTTACTTAGCTTCAACATAAGGAAAGATTTGTTTCTGCTTGTCGGTTACTTAGGGTGCAATTTACTTTCAAAACTATCCTGAAACTTCCACCAAGAAGCAAAATTAGGGCAATCTAGGGATAGTTATTTAAGTGATGAATATCATAGCCCTGTGTTCTCCCTTTAATACAGTCGTCCTTCAGCATCTGCAGAGAAAGAGTCCAGAGTCTCCCTGGAGGCCAGGGTCTGTGTGCTCAGATCCTTAACAGGAGACAGCAGAGTCTTTGCATCCTTCTTGTAACCTTTTTGCAACTCTAGATTGCTTATAATATCTAATGCAGGTAAATACTGTGTGCATATGTGTATTATTTAGGGAATAAAGAGAAGAAAAATATTCATTGCAGGCACAATATTTTTTCCTGAGTATTTTTGATCTATAATTTGCTGAACCCATGGATGGGAAACCCACAGATACAGAGGCATTTGGGCTGGCCAGTAGAGTAACTCTTATCTGTGGTTTTTGGATTTTGGTTAATCGGTTGGTTGGTTTGCTTGCTTGCTTCTTTTGTAGTACTGGGGATCTAACCAAGAACCTTCTCAGTGAGTTATGTCCCCATACCAGTTTTCATTTTGGTGTTTTGAGGCGAAGTCTTCTTAAGTCATGAAGGTGCCTACACTGAGCTTAAACTTTTGATCTTCTTGCCTCATCCTCCTGGAGTGCTGGGACTACAGGTATGTGTGAAAACAGGCACAGTCAGGTTTCTTGAGGATGAGACTGGTTCTATCCATCACCAGCCCTGTTTCTCCTGCCATCCTGGCTCCTTCCTGCTCTATGCTCCTCTGTCTGGCTGGCAGCTTGCAGTACCCCAGACAGTCCTGCATGCTTCCTGTCACCCCACTGTCCCTCTGCCACATACTTCTCAGCAGCCCAGCTCCTGCCATGTCACGAGGTCTTCTTTGGTGGTCCTTTGTGAGGACCTCCTGCTCTGCACTGTGTCCTGTCACCCCCTCCTCACCTGTCACCTGATTTCTTCATTAAATTGTCTGAGGATATACATCTTAGCCACCCTGACCTCCTCTTACTCGTCCTGTCCCATTTGGTGATGGGACGTTCACCTTGGAAAGCCCAGCAGTGCGGTTGGAGGAACATGCAGCTCCCTTCCAGCACAGGACCTGGACCCCAGTGATAGACGCTTGAGCCTGAGCCATGCTGCTGTGTACCTAGACTGTGTCTCCCAGGACTGGAAGGAGAATCCACCCTGGGAACCTGACTGTTGTCACCACCTCACCACCGCTGGCCTCCACAGAGGGGCAGAGCCCACAGTGTCAGTCATCAGTACGAGACCACTTGTGAGGACTCAGGAAGGGATCTGCTCTGCTTCAGCTGCGGGAGAGGCAAGGCTGGGGAATGACAGGGGCTCTGTTTTGTTTTAACCCCATGGGTGGAAAGCCTCGTGATTGCCAGAGTAACCACACTCCGCTCGTCTCCTTCCACTCACCCCAGCTGCAGCCGCCTGGACCACGCAGCCCACATGTCTGCACAGCCTCTCTCTTGGGCATGTCATTTTCCGCAGGAATTGATTTTGTTTTGGTTCATATTCTATAATTTTGAAAACTGCCCAGATTTCATTGTGGAGTTATGAAGCATGAGGAAGTAAATAACGAAGCATCATGTTAACAGTCAGCAGTCCCTCAAGCCAAGGGGCACGGCCTTGCTCTTCCTAAGGAAGGTCACCCTGTGTTACATGGGAGTGCCTCTTACCGCAGTGGGATCTTCACCAACAAGGCTGGGATTCATTGTCTTCACGTACTCCTGTGGCTTCCTTTCTGTCTGCCTTCTCTTTCCCCGTCTCAAAAACCGTTCAACCACTACTTCGACGTTCCTCCACCTCCCTGTTCTCAGTGAGTTGTTCAAAGAGCTTCATTTGTAGGAATCCTTAACATGCAAAACTAATCACATTTTCATGTCTTGGACTAATATCTTACATTAAAATTTAGATACTATTTGACTTTGAGGGTTTCAAATTCATCTTTCCCACTCATGAGTGCAAATTTAAGAAAACCAGCCTTGTCTTTGTGTGCCTCTGAAGACTTAGTGTAGCACACTGGGCAAGGCAGGCTGCACGTAGCAGTTCATGACATCGGGGACCTGGTTGCCTAGGACCTGGACCAAAACTATGCTTCATAATAAACAGCAGCACAGGCTTAGGCCAGGAGCCCAGCATCTCTCTGGGCCTTAGATTCCAGTCTGAAAGTTGATAAATATTCTGAATTGATAACCTTAATGTAGCTAATAGCTTGAACTTTTATCATTATTGTTTTTGTTGTTGTTGTTTGACAAAGGGTCTTACTATGTAGTTGGGAGCAGCCTTGAGCTCACTATGTAGCCCAGGCATACTTTGAACTCACAGTGATCCTCTTGCCTCATCCTCCTGAGCGCTGGGATTACAGGCATGTGCCATTACAACTCTAACATTTTAAGAGTATCTAAAACTGTCTTCTTGAACATCATCTAAGTTCTAATGAATATTTTAATGGGTAACTCAGAGCTTCAATATAATTAGTGCTATCATTTCTATATAACTAAAATACTAATATGCTAATATTACAAAAATAATTTGCCTTAATAAATATCCTGAAGTTCTATTCCTTTTCTAAATTAATGAACCCTAAATTCATGAAAAGCTAATGCTTTTAAAATTGATGCAGATGTTTAGTGAATTTAAAATTTATTTTAGTCCATCTTTCAGTATCTTTCAATTCATTCTTACTGTTAACAAATTTTATGGTGGTTAGAAGCTTTTTTTCTTGCAGTTAGAAGTTAGTTGCCGTCAGTTAAAGCAGAAGCAAATGCAATTTTCAGATAAAAACTTTAAAAGCACAGCACAGATCTTTCTCTTCAGTTATTTTTAAGAAGTGTCAGGTGGATTATTTAAAATTGATTTGTTGATTAGCCTGATTTTGGTGGACCGCAGTGGCACAGATGTAAACCTACTACACCTCCCAATGAATAATAGTTAAGGAAAAAATTAGAGCTGAGCCCATGGTCTTTTCTGACATACAAAGGTCACATCTTCTGGCGGAATTCTGTATACTAGATGTAAATATAAAGTGCTATGCCACCTAAGAAACCAGTGGAAAGACTGAAGGGTCTTCCTTCTGCCCCTTGAGGTGACTGATTTTAACAGGAAGGAACAAGGCCACCTCCGTGTAACCCAGGCCCACCCTCCCTCTAACTTCCTGGCCTGTCTTCATGTTTGGAATTCCTTAGTCAGGAGAGAATGCTTCAGACCCTGTGCCCTCACTGAGCAGGCTGTTTCCCAGTGACACCACGTCCACATGGGTGGCCCATGCTTCCTAACCTAAGGTTAAAAAAAAAAAAAATCACCCATTTTGTGGGCATGTTTACTGAGCCATGTAAGAAGATTCACCTTTTTCTGTATTTAATTTCAAGGCCCGTATATTTGCCCAAAGTTTCTGATTTTCTAGGATGTTTCAGTATTTTTTTTTTCTGACTATGCTTTCCAGCTATTTCAGTGGAAAGATTTGAAAAGAGCAGCTTCTGCTTATTTATTTCTTTAATTTTTAAAAGGTGTTTTAAGCATTGTTGCACATGTAGGGACTTCTCATCAGCTTGACTTCATTCTGATCTGAGTCTCTGGGTAAACTTATTCAACTTTTGGTGAATGTATTGATTCGTATTTTCATCTAGCTCAGCGCTCAGTCTTGCCTACAGGTACATTTCAAACCAGTTGTCAGACACTCACAGAAACACTTCACCAGGAAGGAGGAAGGGGAAAGGCTTCCAAGGAAGACACATCCATCTGCTGCTCTCACCACTGTCCTATTCAGTGTCTCCAGACGCTGAGGCATCGGGGTTGATGGTTGACACTGCACGCCTCACTCTGATGGAACCTAAACACAGAATGGGCAAAGCGGAAGGTTCAAACAGGGAGAGAGCGAAAAATAGGTCAGTGAGTCAGAAAGACAGTACACAGCTGAACTAAGGAAGGCCATCCTAGGGCCTAACCTGAGGTCTGCAGATACAGGAAGCAGAGCTGAGCGTCTAAGGAGAGGGGTCTGTAAATGGGCAGGTAGATCATGAGGAAATGCACTGGGCATTTTGCAGGAAGCTGAGGCATGCTTGCTGGGGTGAGTAGTTGGGAGCCTTGTGTCAGGAAGAAAGTGAGGGAGACCCCTGTGGCAAAAAGGTTGGCTTCGTGGTGGGGACGTCAACAGGTGAGTAAAGGCAAGGGGCAACAACAGAGGACTGCCTAGAGGACTGAGAACCCCAGGGAGCCAGAGAACAGCAGGCTGGGGAGGAAGTGAGCTCAGCTTTCCTTT